TATGAATGAAGTGCATAGTCTATTGCTAATATATATAGGAACATATGAATGATGATATGATATGCATGGTCCTATAAAGATAAGCTTCAAATGGATTCATAAATACTTTGACATTGAATCCTAAACACTCACCATCCTATCTACCCCTTTCTTCACGCTTTGTCCATGATCGAGTAGGCTTTCAGGTAGACTTGCTTTCTTCCTTCCTTTGAGTTACTTTCTTGCTCATTGTAGTCCAAGCTATCTTTGGATGGACTTTGCTTTTGCTTCTTTGCAACTTCATATCTTCTTTGTATCAATTGTTTTCCTTGATATGATCTTGAATAATGGAATACTTGGAATGATCTTTCGTGCTTCATTGAGGTCATCACTTGTTTCTTTGCAACTTCACGTTTTCTTTGTATCCATTGCTTTCCTTGATATGATCTTGAATAATGGAATACTTGGAATGATCTTTCGTGCTTCATTAAGGTCATCCTTTGAAATGTGAATAATCTATAACACTCAATGTAAACATTAGTCCTTAAACACCATTAATGGTTTGTTATCATCAAAACCTCTAGATTGTCCTTAGATGAAATCCTTAAGGTCAACACATGTCAATAACTCGAACGGGCTGGCTGTCAGTTGCTGCCTTCGGGGTTGGTCTTGGCCCGTTCGGATGGCTTCTGATGGCCCAGGTCAGTTAGGTATTCGACCAACTCGCCCTTGGCTATTAGAGCCTCAACTTATCTCCTCAGACTCCTACAATCATTAGTTAGGTGCCTAAAATCACTATAGAATGCGCAATGCTTACTTTGATCCCTTTGGTCTATTGGTTTCCTGATTGGTGGAGGATCTGGAATATTTTCCTACCCTTGGTTTCCTGATACAATCTTACCAGCATGGTTTTAAGTGGTGTGGCCCTCTCTGTAGTTCGTGATCTCTTCTCAAGAACCCTACTTTCAATACTTGGTGGCTCTCATTGAGCCCTTGAGATGCTCAATCATTCTCTAGGTCGACTTTCCACCGTGACCAGCATTGCCCTCTGCTACCTTGTCATCTTGTTCACTTCGAGTCTGATGTGATTCTATGCCCACGTGTTCAGTTCTAACATATCTGATCGAGTCTTCTTCACTAATGAAGAATGGAACCTTGTACCCTGGATCTTGGCTATTTTGAATGCCTATATGGCTATAGCCTGATTGCAGTCTGGAATACCAGAGGACTCCATATTGAACTGAGTGAGGAAGGTTTAAAGACCTTCTCCTTTCATCTATCGAATTGTGAAGAGGCTGGAGATGGTCTTTTTTTGCTTCTTATTTTCGCAGTTCTGGGCTAGGAAGGCCATACATAATGTCTTGAAATTCAAGATAGATTTATGTGGTCAGTTCGTGAACCATTCCAATGCCACTCTTATTAGTCTAGACGGAAAGATTTTGCACATGAATATGTCATTTTATGCCTTTAGAGTCATTTTATGGTTGTAGTGGTCTAAATGTTGGAGGGGATCCCCTGTCCCATTGAACTTAATGAATTTTGGCATGGTGAACTTTTTAGGTCTTTTGACCTATTCTATTTCGTCCATGAAGGTAGTCTTGATTATAGAGGCGGTAAATTCTCGTGCCATGTCCTCGAGAGTTTGGGCTTTTAACTCCTTAATCCGCTCGTCTACTTCCCTTCCGAATTTTGCTAGTACGTCATTTCTGGCAATTAGTGATCCTCACCTGGGACCCAGGTATTCTGTCTTCTTGATTCGGAATGATCCTCTAAGGCTTGATTCGGAATGATCCTCTAAGGCTTGATTCGGAATGATCCTCTAAGGCTTGAGTCTGTATTGCTTGCGTTCCTCCCAATGTGGAGTCTTCTATGATACGGGACTGACTTGTTGTCTCGTCTCCATCGTGCCAGTCTAGAGTGTCGTACGACACATTGAGTGGCTGCCGATGGGCCCTCGGTTGTTGAGGAGGACTGTTGAGTCCTTGGGTATGCGGTGCTGGCGGTAGATCTACCAGCTCGTTCTGATGTTCGGGCAGAGGACCGAGCGATGCTAGTTGATGTTCCACTAGGGCGGTGGATTGACCTGCTGAGTGGCAGCCCAGAGTTCCTCATTCTCCTAACGCAAAGCATTGATTTGTGCTATGTTAGTCTCGTTGGCTTGTCTTAATGCATTGATCTACTCGGTGCTGGCCTTACTAGCTTGTCATAAGATGTCAAATTGTGTTTGCATCTCTTCACGCATTTTCTATATGATTTCCAGTTGCTGTAGCTAAAGGGCATCTGATCCTGTAGCTATTCCGGAGCGATGTCGCATGTAAAGAAATAGTGAAAGGCTTTTTTATAGAGCATCCCATAGACGACGCCAAAATGTAGGTGCAAAAATTCAACACCGGGACACTTAAAAATAAATACGAAAATAATAGTAAAAGAACTGTGACTGGATAGAGGCAAGCTCAACAGAAGAAATATGAGCATGTAAAATCGATATCCTTCCTCTCATTATTGATCTCTTATTTATATGTTTATACAGAGACTTTCTTAGGGTCGTTATTAGCAGTTTTGAATGTGGGCAATTATGGCCCCTAATTTTCTACGATCTCCATTTATGATAGGCGTTATGGGGTGCTTAAATGAACTTAGGCTGGGCTCTGTTTCCTTTGTTTGGGCCAGCTTGGAGTTTGATGTCTCCTTCAATGTGCTCTTGACTGCAATGGGCTTCTGGGCTAGTCATTCTAATGTTGGGTCCTTATTTTCTTGCAGACATGTGGTGTGATGTCTTTGGTAGGAAAATTTCCCTCCACACCTTCTTATTTTGTCCATTTTTTTACCTTAACTTCCGTATTTCGGACTCGATTTCGGGTCGTGTTTTAGTCTTTCAGTTGATATACCAAATCACGGGATTCGTGGCATCACAATCACCACTACCACCACTGCCTTCCCCCACCATTATTACCACAACCACTGTTTTCCACCGCCGTCTTTCATCACCACCTTGCACTACCACCACCAACGCCGCCTTCCGCTAACACCTTCCTCCACCGACTCCGCCTCCCGCCACCACCTTCCCCTATCGCCTTCCGCCACCAATTTCCTCCACCATCATCATCACCACCACCACCGCCACCACCTTCCTCCACTGCCACAACCGTCTTTGTCTTCCACCGCCACGCCGCCACTATCTTCCAACACCACCACTGCCTTCTGCCACCACCACCGCCTTTCATTGCCATCACAACTTTTCTTCACCACCTTCCTCTACTGCCACCACTGCCACCCCACTGCCTTCCGCCACCAACTGCCTCAATCACCACCTTCTTCCACCGCCACCGTTTTCTGACACCACCGACATCGTCTTCCACCGCCACCGCCTTTCACCACCACCACCGCCATCCATCGCCATCACTGCCTTTTGCCACCACCACCTTCTGCCACCACCACCACCATCGCCTTCCACTACCACCACTTAGAATTATGATTATCAATTTATTTTAACATCATTTTATATTTGCAACTAAACAAGAGAATGAGAATGAGAATGACCATTTCATTCCATTTCCATTCTCATTCCATTTCCAGGTTCATTCCATTCTATTTTATTTTATTTCATTCATGCATACCAAACTAGGCCTAAGGATTGTGGTTGTGTACAAGAGAGATGATAAGGTTAATTTTGTCTTTTGAAACTTTCAATATGAAGTGTATATATTTGTGTATTACATATATGGGTTGTTTGGTGATTGTACAATTACCGTTAGACAAACTCATGGGTCTTAACTTTGACAGTGGTGTCAAAGTTATTTTTTTAGAAAGTTTAATCTGAATGCCATTGATTTTATCAGTGAAGATTGTCATCATTTTTCCCTGTGGTTTTACCTCGAGGGTTTTTCACGTCAATCTTTGATTTTTCTTTGCTTTTGCTTGCAGTATTTATTTTATTCTTGGTTTGGTGGTTGACTATTTTTCTTAGCCAAAAATAATTGGGACCAACATGTAACAAAGGTAGATCACAATGGTGTCCGACGAAAGAGAAGAAAAGGGGGGTCATTTACATTGAGAGAAAAATGAATTTGAGGAGAGAGAAAAATGAATTTGCTTAGGAACGTGGAGAATAAGACTTTTGTTTTTTTTTTTTTTTTTTTTGAATAAGACTTATTCATATAAAATAAAAACTTAATGGTAACAACAGAATAGCTAGTATCATATATAATATAATAATTATTATAATAATAAAATAAATTCAACTTCTAAATTATACGGAATATAGAAATTATAAATGAATTAAAGTTGTATATATATAGTCCTACTCAATAAATGGTTTAAATAAAATTTCATATTTGTATATAATTGTGTCGATGATATAATATTATACATGTGTTACACTTTTAAGAAATTAATATACATATACATTAGTATTGTTTTGTGTCCGTGTCCCATATATTCATATTTAATTTTATACATTAGTAAAATATGTTTTCTTTGATAAACTTCACATTTTTATCACACGGTGATAGAGTTTTTGGTAAGAAAAATAATAAAACGATATTATTAAGAATTGATGTGTTTGTTGTTGATCTATCAAATATTAAAAGTTTTTATTGGACATGAATGAGTAGATTAAAATAAAAATAAATTTTAAAAAAAAAAAAAAAAAACCAATTGTGAAGTAGACTCTAGAGTTGTCTTTTTGTAACGCTTGAAATCCAATTCCCAACACTCAACCGTTAAAGTTTGTAATTTGGAACCACTTTGTTCAACTGGTGACGGCACTATTACAGTGAGGTGGGTGGGTAACTCTCCAGTCAGAATCGTGCGATCACTTTCACTCCATTACGTTGGACCCCACGTACCCTTCTGATTTTCCATCAAATTCCCGTGATTCTCTCTTTACCGTCAGATCAGATTACTCAAATATATATATTTATATATATATCGATTAGTGGAAATTTTTCCTATAAATAGGACTCACATAGCGCTCCCCTCATCACTTCTACTTCTATTTTCTCTCTCTAGTAGCAACAAAAATGTGTGGAGGTGAAATTGGCCGTGGAGTTGAAGCCAAGGGTGGCCGGAATCTGACGTCGAGCCAAGAACTCTGGTCCGAGCTAGAACCCATCACGGATCTCTTTAGCTTAGAGTATACCATCAAGAAAGACCCCCATCCAACCCAACTGATACAGACTGGTGAGATATATACATGCATATACATACATAGATATCTATCTTGAGTCCATACAAGTCAATGCATGCAATTAAAACATACATTTGTATATGTTTAATTGTGTAGGTATGCATTAATTTGATGTACATCCATATATGCAATTATGCACACGCCTATATATATATATGTATATGTATATGTATATGTATATGTATAAAAAAAAGACCCAAGTGACAAATGTATCGCCCGACAGATGCTTAAACCGCTTGTCCATACGGAGTCGCTTCCATGCATGTGTTTGTATATTTATAACCACATATATATATGTACATATACATTTATATTTGCTTCAAGTGACGGTTCTTTAAGACACTTGTCCATACAATGTCAGTACCATTTTTTTTTTGTGTGTGTATAAGTATATATATATGTGTGTGTGTGGGTTTTCTGTAAGCTCAGTTATGCGCAGTTTTGATTGAGTTCTTTAGCAAAACTCGCAGTAACATTTTGGTGTTACAGAGACAATTGAGAAGAATATGAAGGCGACTCAGAAAACTCGGAAGAACGTTTACAGAGGAATCCGACAGAGGCCCTGGGGGAAGTGGGCTGCCGAGATACGTGACCCCCAAAAGGGAGTCCGAGTCTGGCTCGGAACTTTCAAGACCGCCGAGGAAGCGGCGAGGGCTTATGATGAGGCGGCCAAGCGCATCAGAGGCAAGAAGGCCAAGCTGAACTTTCCTGATCCAGCTGATCAGACACCGCTACCGCTGCCGCCACCACCAAAGAGGCCGCGTGTCGCCATTGAGTCTACTCCGGCAAGTCATCCTTTAACCAAGAAACCCCCATTTGTGGGTTTTGATCAAAACCCAGTGACGGATCCATTTGGGTTCAAAGAGCAGATTTCCAAATTGGAATCATTTCTTGGGCTGGAGCCCGAGTTCACTGAGTTCGATGGACTCGGGGTGCCGGAATCGGCTGACCTTTTTTGGATGCTTGATGACCTTCCCAGGCTTCCCGGGACTTACAATAATGAGCAGAATCCTATGTTCTACTGAAGGAGTCTGATAACCAAGTACTGGTGCGCGCTCTGTTATGTTAAGGGGTTTTTGGTGAAGATAATATATATAAATAAAATATACAAATATATAAATAAGTTACATGTATTTGCATGTAAACAATCATCCATGTTGTCCTCCTGTGTACGTTCTAGATCGTGGACGATGTTGTGGATGGTTTTTTTTTTCTTTTTCTTTTTGGGAAGGTATGTTGAGGATGTTAATCATTAATGAAGTTGTAGTTCTTTCCATTTTTCTATTATTATTATTATTATTATTATTAAGGTAAATTTGACCTTTCCTATAATTTATCATAATTATAGGGACTCTCCTATAGTTTGAGAAATTATAGGAACCATCCTAATAGTGAAACATTCTTCCACCAGATCTCTCCTGGGGATAAGCTGTTCCCAATTTCTGTTGGACAAAACCAACCCTATTAAAATCTGTCAACTCATTAAAATAGTAGGTATTAATGTAATTTTAGAAACTGATTTCTTCATCTATCGATCTTCCTTTCCATCTCTATGTCTTCTCTCTTAGCCAAATTGAAGAGAACCAAGATCGCTGTTGTCGCCGCTGCCGTCAACAGAATTCGCATCGTTGATCATCTTTGCCACCGGAAATTGCGTCGCCGCTAATCATCATCGCTGCTGCTAGATCGATCCCCCGATGAAGATGTTAGGAAACTACTACTATTAAGTCTACTTTAAGAATATTGTTTCTTTCCAATTATTATTTGCAATGTTAAGAAGTCTGCAATTTCTATTCGATCTTCATATATATATATATATATGATGCTCTTGTAATGGAATTAGGATATTAGGAATGAAAACTTAATATTTTTGGTGGCTAATAATCAAAGATCAATTTATGGTTTAGAAGCCTAACATCTAGTATCAGAGCATTCGATCTGATCGCCCAAAAAATATAATTTTTTTTTCCTCTTTCTTTTCTACAATTAATCAATTCCATTAGTGATTTTTTTTTTTTTTTTTGGTAAATCAATTCATTTAAACAAAAACGGGAACGGTACAAAGGAGGGGCAGAAGCCCAAAGGCAACAACCCAGGAAGGCTACAAACAACCTAGCCCAGAAACAAAAAACAAAGTTGTTGCAGCAACAACTAAGAGTAGAAACACATAGTTGAAGGAGCAACGAACTCATAACCCTTATTGATCTCTATAGAACACTGAACTAGGGAGACTCCACGTAGCTACAATGGACCTCGCAGTCTTCGAATCCTTCAATTTGCAGGACATGAGACGATTCCTCACATTGGTGTAAATCAACTTTGTGATTGAAGCAGTGGACGCCATTTGGTTCATGGCATTTCGCCTATTTCTCTCACTCCAAATGAAATACACTGAAGTTGTAAGACATAATTTGAAAACATACGCCTCCGGAACTTTGGTACCATCATTCCACATTAACACAATCTAATTGGTGATCTCATATAAGTTGTAATATCCAATATAGATTCCACATAGGTGTTGGAAAAACATCCATATCTCTGAAGCAAACTTGCACTTGAAAAAGAGATGTTAGTGACTCTCAGCAGTAGCAAGGCACAAGGAACAGTTATTTGGAGCAATTTTCTTTGCAAAAGCTAGGTTGTCCCTCGTCTTAAGCCTGTGACTAAGAGCAACCCACGTGATGAATGAAAACCAGATGACAAAGTGCCAAAGAACAGAAGGAGAAGGGGAGATAAGAGCTCTATAAGTGGTAGCTAGGTAAAAGCTACCCGTAGAGGAGAGGGTCCAAACAACTGAGTCTTGTGATTCAATTCTCAGGTTAGAAAGGTGTTCTGTTGTCCCAATGGATGGAACCATATCTCTGAACAGACGTGGAAGTCTCAATTGATCATGACGGTTAAGGACCTTGAAGAACAGGTTGCTGACCTTACTATTAGAATGGATGTAATGTTGTGTGATAATCAAGCTAGTTTTCAGCAATTTCAAACAGTTGTGTTGGCCCTAATAGATAGACAAGCATCCCAACCTAATCATGTTCGTCCCAACGTGATGATCACATATCAGTACAGGGCAACAACCTTGCTCGACCGCTTCACCGTGATGACAACGAGGATCGATGAGTTGGTCCAATCATTCAAGGTCGCACTCTCTGAATTGATTTTCCAAAATTCGACGGTACTGATTGATGTGTGCTCAATGTTACCACTCGCAATAGTACGAATCTTTGTAGGATAGGACTATATAGAGGGTGTCGATCCCACAAGGAGATGAGTGTTCTTTGTTTTATTTCTAACTAATCTAATCCTTTTTGGTTTATAGGTAATTGGTTGGATTTGATTGATTGGTTGTCACGAACATAAAGTAAAATTAAACTGAATTTAAATTAAAGAGATCAGAGAGAGAAGAAGTCTTAAGGTTTTGACTTCACCACGAACCTTGTACTATGGTCAACTGTTCAACTCTTGGGTTTTAACAATTTATATTTTAAATGAATTAAACTCAATAACATTCATTTAATTCGGTTTTAAAGAACGATGTTTTATAAATTTCAATTAACTATAACCTATCTGCGGTAGCATGGACTATCCACCTACCTACTTTTAATTGCTTTAACTAATTTTGCAGTATAATCCATCTCTCCTAAGCATAGACTATGAAAATATTCATTCATAAAAAACATTAAAACACCATTGCATAATCTCCATTCTTATGTCCGATAGGCCTCTACGTACCAGATATTGTCCAATAAGAATGGGTTGAGAATAATTAACGAATACCTAAATCTAAGACAAGGTATTAAATATTCAAAAACTATTTAAAACATTAAAATCCAATTGAGTTGACTCAATTGCTCAGAATCATGCAATCAAAATATAATATATTAAAATACCCAAAGTTGAAACAATCAAACCATAGTACTTAAATCGGGTTACATCAGTACCCTAAGAGAGGAATTAGCTATTTATGACGACGCAAAATATCATCTGTATTGTTGTAGTCTTCATCGTCACAGATGACACTTCTCTTCTCAGGATCTTCACCTTCTAAGGTTATTGAAACCTTAAAAGCCGCCACCACAATATGAGAAGTACTCTATACAATACAAGAGAAAAGGATAATTCTTTTGTAATCTTGTGCCTTCTTTTTTAAAAGAATTAAGGTTCTGGCAGGCTTTTAGGTTTTCTGGCCCATCTTAAGTGAAATTAGACTTTAAAAAAGATAAATCCTATAACTTATAATTCCAATATGTCATGGAGAGCTTGAGCTATTTGGCACCTGCTCGAGCTTTGGAAGCAAAGCTTGAGATTTCTTAAATATGGCTCGAACTTCAAAGAATGGTGCTCGATCTTCACTTTTGTACTTAGTCAAATTTCTTCAACTATTTTTCAAAGCGTCTTTTCCATCAACACTTAGAATATTTTTGGGTTCTCTTCCTTTGAACAGTGCTCGATCCTTTCTTCATGGTGCTCGAGCTTTAGGTGCAAAGTTCGAGCTTTTGGCTCAAGGCTTGAGCTCTGAATGATAGTGCTCGATCCCTTGAGGTCTGGCACGAGGCCCTGGGAGCTTGCCTTTTTTCTGAAATCAACTCTTCAAATTCCAACACCTCAAGCTCGAGCTTTTAGGCAAAGGCTCGAGCACCCTGAGATAAGGCTCGAGCATCCTTATGTAAGGCTCAAGCTCTAAAGGTCCAAGCTCGAGCTTTATTGAGGCTCTAGCTTTGATCACTTAAATTCCTCCAAACTTTACCATTTTAGCTCTCGACTTGCTTTGAAAGACAGGCAATGACTCTATAAGCTTCGATATCAGTCTTTTCATTATAAAGTCTCGGTTTTAACCGTTTCTTTGGGAAAGTACCTATAAACACACAATAAACATAAATCAGTCTATTAATGGATAGAAGTATCACTTTAAGTCTTAGCATACGTAAATTTAGGGACTCGAATATGCAATATTCAGTGTTTATCACAGATCCTAAACGATGGTTGTCTCAAGCTAAACAATTTCAGGAACTCAATGGACATTTAGAGGAGCAGATGGTTCCATTAGCTGCAGTACATCTTCAAGGAGATGCTATTTTGTGGTATCATTAGATTAAACAATCTTTGGGTATTCTGACATGGCAACAATTTTCCCGTGCAATATGTATTCGCTTTGGGTCTCAACAACACATTGATCCTTGCAGTTCACTAGCCAAACTATCTCAAACTAGCACTGTTCGCAAATTTATTACCGAGTTTGAGCGACTTGTTAATATAGTTCCCGGTATGCTTGAGTCATATCAAGTTAGTATTTTTCTCTCTTAATTTCGCACTACTATTAAAGCTAGTGTTCGTTTTCTTCATCCACTGAGTTTAATTAACCGAGGCCTTTGAATCGGTGCTCTGTCAAGAAGATGCAATTAATGCAACAACGTCCCATAATGCGACAGGATTTGCTACTCGTCCATCTCCTTCCCAGCCTTATAACATCATGTTTGCACCTAAGCCTATTATCAAATTGCCAACTTTATCTCCTAGTGTTAAACAGTTGTTATGGGCTAAGCAGAAGGAACAATGAGAAAAGGGGCTTTGTTTTAATTATGATGAAATTTATAAGCTTGGGCATCAATGTCAAAAACCTCAGTTATCGATCTCTCTTGGAAGGTGAAATAGATGACAAAATTGCAGCATCTGAAATTGAAGCTATAGAAGTTGGTGGCACTAAATCTTCAACTTTAGAAATTTATTTACATGCTCTTATGGGTTCAACTCGGCCTGAAACTATGCGCATCACTGGCACTCTAAAAAATCGCCCGATTACTGCCCTCGTCAACTCTGGTTCTACCCATAATTTCCTATATCCTTTTATTGTTAAACAGTGTAGTTATCTTGTTCAGAAGGACAAGACTTTATGAGTCATGGTGGCTAATGATGGATATTTAAATACTCTAGGAAGGTGTTCTGATGTTCGACTTAATTTACAAGGTTATGTTTTCTGCATCGAATTTTTCTTGTTGGGTGTTTCTGGTTGTGAGGTAGTTTTAGGAGCACCATGGTTGCAATCCTTAGGCGTAATTGCTTGGGATTTTGCTAATTTAATCATGAATTTTATGATGGCTACTCATGAGTTCACCTTGGTGGGGAATGGTTCTCCTACTGTAACCCTTCTGGATAAGGGAGTGGTATAATGTCTTTAATGGCATGAGCATCAGGGGTCCTTTAGCAGTTATCTTTTAATTCTTCAATCCCTTCTGAATTTTATGTATCATCTACATTACTACCCGACATTATTGCTGCTCTACTTTTAGAATTTTCTAATATTTTTGGTATGTCTATTACTCTTCCACCTGTTCGATCTCATGATCATCAAATTCTCCCTTTTCCTAGAT